GATGGGGAGGGGAAGGGACGGGAGGACAGGGGAGGGGAAAGGAGGGAAGGGGAGGGGAAGGGAAGGGAAGGGAGAGAAGACCAGCTAACCTAAAGCAGATGAAGCCTAAGAGGATGGCAGGGACCAGGCCATATAAAGGAGTTTGGACTAATTCTAGTACCTAGAAAGCTGTTGATGATGTTTAAGTTGGGGCAAGACATAATCTGAATTTTGTTTCTAAAAATCTCCCTCACTGTGGAGAATGCTTTGGGGTTTGAGAGGGATAGGAGCAAGTGGAGAAGCAAGGAGATCAGCTACAGACTGTCACTTGTAGTCCAGGTGAAAGGCAAGGGTGGCTTGCCTAGAGTGGTAGAAATGAGTGAGGAATTTCAGATATGTTCTGAGGCTGAGGTCAAGATGGCTTGCTAAAGAATTGGATACAGGAGGTGAGGAAAAGAAAACACTTATATTTACAGAGAGTTTTACATTGTGCCAGATTCATTTCATTGTTATCTCATTTAATATTCAGAAAAGCCCTACGGTTGATAATTGGTATTATTAATTCATTCATCAACAAATACTGATCAAACAACCATCATGTCCCAGACACCCTTCTAGGTGCTGTGAAAAGAGCAGGGAACAACACAGACAAGGTCTTTGCTCACACGAAGCAAGTTCTTTTGGGAGAAGACCAACAATCTACAAGTAAACAATAAGTAAGTTATAACAAAAAAAGTTATAGCTGTGGCTGGTATGGCTCAGTAGTTTGGGAATCATCCTGGTGTGATTCCTGGTCAGGGCATATGCCTGCGTTTTAAGCTTGATCCCCAGTAGGGGGCATGTAGGAGGCAACCAGTGGGTGTTCCACTCTCATATCGATGTTTCGCTCACTCTCACTCTCCCTTCCCCTCTCTCTAAAAATCAATAAAAAATATTTTTTTAAAAGTTATAACTACAATGAGAAAAAAACACAAGACATTAATGGGCTAGCAAGTAACTTGGGGTGTGCTATTCTTTTTTTATGTGATATCCTAGAACTTTTGAGAAGGTGACATTTGTACCTGAGACTTGAATGATTGGTAGCTATTATCTTACAGATGTGGAAACAGACTTAGCCATACAGGTAGCACACAGAAGTTATTTCTTCTGAAAAACCCTGGTGAAGTGGGTATTTAGGAGCTGAATTATACTGGAGGACAGGCTTTGCAAAGCTATGGAACCATCTAATGCTTTAAAAAGTCCAGATCTATGAAAGCTGTTTCAAAGAGCCATTTCTTAATCTGGCCTCAGAAAGGGACCCAAATACCTTTTCTACTGGGTAAAAGAAGGTCCTTGCAAATCAGCAATTTTAGGTTGGATAATTGGTCCTGAATGATGTTGGTAGTGATTCCAGATTGAGTCTTAAGCACTCTAAGGTAGAAGAACTGGATTCAATTAAATTCCATAAAAATGGCCGAAACCGGTTTGGCTCAGTGGATAGAGCGTCAGCCTGCGGACTGAAAGGTCCCAGGTTCGATTCCGGTCAAGGGCATGTACCTTGGTTGTGGGCACATCCCCAGTGGGGAGTGTGCAGGAAGCAGCTGGTCGATGTTTCTCTCTCATCGATGTTTCTAACTCTCTATCTCTCTCTCCTTTCCTCTCTGTAAAAACTCAATAAAATATATTTTAAAAAAATAAATTCCATAAAAATGTATTCATCTCCACCCTGACTAGTGTGGCTAGTCAGTTAGTGCGTCAGCCTGCATACCAGAGGGTCTCAGGTTCAATTCCTGTCAAGGGCGTGTACCTGGGTTGCAGGTTTGATCCCCGTATATAAAGATCACCAATATAGGATCAAGTAAAGGAAGCAAATTATCCTAACATCAGGTTAATGGGCTTGGAACAAAAGTTCTAGTGACAGCATCATGTATTGCTATGTCTCAAACAACTGAGACAAAATAAGATGAAATGCCCCCAGAAAACTATTTTAAATATCTCTATGAAAAGTGACAACATTTTTACTATTTTTACATCAAAATTATGGGTTCCATTGCATAGGTCTTCAGGTCTTCTTGGTTTTCCACAGCTTTGGTGGAGAAACAGTTACGGGTTCACCTCCCTGTCGATGTATCAGTTACCAATTGTTGCATAACGAAG